TATCCCTTATATGCGTCAAGGAAGCTGAGAGTTCTGAAACTAGTGATTCCCTTGACCATTTGATTGATGACCGGTAAAGGATAGCAATCTTTGGGGCAATGCTTCTTGAGGTCAGTGTAGTCTTTGCGCATACGCCAGGAGTTATCGGGCTTTTGGACAAGGACAGGGTTGGCAAGCCATGTGGGGGCTGAACGGAACGTCAAGGTCCATTGGGCGTTCTTCTTTCTTGGATTCAGGCTGTACAAGGCTTTGTTTAATCGAGGAACACGCTGACATTGCTATGCTAACTCCAGACTTTACTATTTTCTTCCCCCTCTTGCTGGCTGTAAGAAGGCACTCTCGAGAACTGCGTTGGCATCATTGTAGTACTCTTATTCCATACTTTGTTGGGAACTTCATGATGAAATGGTAGGGGGACCAAATGGCCCGGGCTTGGAACATCCACGGGTATCCTAATATTACATCAAACGATGAAAGTGCATCTATAATGGCGAAATCCACGGATAACGCCACCATGCGGGGATGCAACCCTACCAAGATTGGAAGCTTGACGATTGCCGTAGGGATGATTGTGTGACCGAAAAAGTCCATCAATGACAAAGTGGCTGGACGCAAGTTTGGATTCTTGATATTTATTTATTTTTTAAGCAATCATTATAGATAATGTCGTCTGCACTGCCATTATCGACATACTCGGCTTACTCGGACATTCCCTATGATCGCCTCGATGACCATCGCATCGCTATGTGGACAGATGCCTGGGACTATGTCACTGCCAGTAAAGACTATTGCCTCAGTCCCCTTAAACCGCTTATGGCTAGGCTCCTGTGGGGGAGTCTTAGTTACTTCCGAACAGAGGCCTTCATTGCCGTTTTGGAAAGAACTTCATGAGGCGCACCGTAGATTGCCCCTACATTGTGAGTGATCTGCTTAGCAGGACCTGTTGGAGGAACCTACTGGAGTGGTTGTGCCCTCCGTCGAGTGATTGCTGAGGAGATTATTGCGCATTGTTCCTCGGTTGCCAACTACTCGCTCGATTATCCCCTCGAGGGCTCGAGGGTTTTGTTTGGGAAAATTACGGGATCCCGTGAACTTTCCACCTTTTTGTCGAGTAGAACCTTGTACATACTAGTGGAATTTTCCTAACTTTAAACCAGCTTCGATTTCTCGCTTCAACTCCCTCCATCTTCAGTATCATGGCCATAATCCTTGTGATACTTGCAGTATTGATTCATCGACCTATTAGGCTTTGGAACCAAAGGCTTTGGAGTAGGAAGCTCGTCCTTGTGAATTTGGAAAATTTCCCGATGAGGTTTCAGTAGTGGAGTCAGTTGTCTGTCAAGCTTGGGCAATGCTGGCTTAGACTCTGTTGTCGACTTGAGTCTATCCTTTGATCCTCAATCTCTTGTTAACAAGAAGGATTCCAGTGAATGCTTGAGCGTTTGTTCTCATTGGATGTAATTTTTAACGGTGGGCCACATTTCTTGTGTATTGTGAGGAGGCTTGGTTGACAGTTTTATTCTTAGATTGGCAGACTTTCCAAATGGATTGAGGCCCTGGATAAACCCATTCTGCATATCTCTGTCATTTAAATGATTAACCTGAAAGGTTTCCCGAATGAAGCGCCGATGGAAGTCGGAGAGGCTCTCATGCTGGACTTGTTTGACTGATAAGAGATCGATAGACATTCTCGTGATTTGCCTGTTAGGGGAAAAACGAGTAGCTAGTTTGACGAATAGATCCTCGAAACTGGTTATACTTTTTTCTGGTAATTATCCAAACCACCGTTGTGCCTGTCCGGTGAGATAAGAAGGAAAGGCTTTAGCCATGAAGTCTAACGGGGTGTTCCTGATTCTCATGACCTGGACGTATCTGTGCAGGAATTTTTGTGGGTCAGAATCTCCCGAATACTTTATGAAATCCTTGGGAATATCGAAGTCTTGAGGTTTCGGGTAGTCTTGAATCTCAAGTATGAACGGACTTCTATCCCCGATCATTCTTATCATTCTGCTAATCTCTTCTCAAATGGACAGGCTATGGTTGCCGACTTTTCTCTGATTCTGAGGGATATAAGGTTTCTCTCGAGGATACCGTTCCCTCTGTCGAGGTTGAGGGGAGTGTCGTGGATGATAACGATCACCTGAGTAATGATCCCCCCAAGGATAATTTGTGCCTTGTGGTAGTTCTCGGTATACATCATCGTCACCATGGTGGGATCTCTCTAGCTGGATTTTAGGTCCCAGTCGAGAATGCACATTAGCTCTTGGTGGGGGATTCCAGTCTTTTTCGGCCACAAATTCGGTGTTGGGTGAATGTTGGCAACGTTGGTTGTGAGAAGCCTTTTGGCGCTGGTATTCTCTATCAAACTCCTCAAGTGCTATTTCAAATGTTGGGTACGTCCTTCTAAACGAATCCCAGAAGGCTGTGTTACGGGTGGCAGTTGAGCGTTCCTCGTGGAAGGTCTCGTTGTCTGAGGCTTCCTTATAGCCCTCCTCTTCCAAAACCTTGCATCCCTTGTTTGTTTTCGAGCGGAGCCAACGTCCTGAGTGCTTCTTTTTAAATCAATTATGTCTCTTAACTCCTGCTCAATTGCATCCGGTTGTCTGAGCAAGCAACAACGTCGAGTCTCCTCGAGCACATATCTCTTTAGCCTTTGATTGAACGTGCTATCAACGCGTAATTTCTTGAGTTCCACTTTGATTTCAGCCAATCGTTCTTCGTCCCTGGGGGGATTAGACATTCTGGTTTGTCTGTTAACCTTCTCAATAGAGGGATTAGTTGTTGATGGTTTAGTAAGAGATTTCTCCCTACGAGATCGAGCGTTATCGATGTTCAGACGCTCGTTACCCGTTTATTTCCTTGGCTGCCTGCTACTCTTTTTTCGCTTTTGTTGTTCCTAGAACTCAGCCAAGGTAGCGTTGTTGTCGGGACTGCGCTGCCTAGTGGACAACATCGTGCTGGATTGGGATTCAGCAACTACAACCATCTTTCTTCAGAGAATAACACTAATTTGCTAATGGTTATTGAGGTTTGAAAGCTTAAGAAAGTTTTGTGACACAAACCCTAGTTTTCGGGTCCCACTGGGCATGCCACTTGACGAAACTTGAATTTGCATAATTATGGAACTCCGATAGCGTTTATCTGCAAAATAGAGTCTCGCGTGTCTCCCAAGGTTAGAAACTCCGATACTTAAGTTAGAAAAAGGTTGTTTGGAAGTGTATGTATGATAATTAGAGCTAGAGATAGTATACCTCAATTGTAGTACGATTAATCCTATTTATAGGCATGAGGATACCTAGTCAGTGTCCAAATCCCAATAGGTTTCATATTATTGAGCCACCTTTGTAAAGTTGGTTGGACTGTAGTTGGCGGATGGGCCGGCCGATGATCTTCGGTAGATATGGACTCGTCATTTAGATTTCAAAAAACCACTTGTGTTCTCCCACTCCTGATATTTCTTATGCCTCTGAAATTGAGAGAAAGAAAGAAAACTATTTGTAAGCTGAAATGTAGTGAGAAAGTTCAAAAGCGAACTGAAAAAATTCTACTTCAATTATATGTACATCATAAGAACATGTGAAGAGATCACTAAAAATGTACCAACAAAAGTAGCTGAGGAAATGAAGATCTTCATAATTCATTTTTTTATAGAAAGAAAGATGCTTACAGTAAAACATATATAATCAAGAATAGTCGAGTACTTCTAACTTATCCAATAAAGAAGGTATAAAGCACAAAATCCAAACATATTATAGATCAATAGTATAAAATACTAACGTATCTTAACTCAATCTTTAAGAACCCTGCTTAGAAATAAGATGGAAATGGATGTTTTTTTAGGGAAACAGTGGCCAAGAATCTGCATCCACGATTTTATATATACAGCACGCGACTTTCTATTCGTTATTGATACTAACATAAACAATTGTAGGAGAGTTGGAGAAAAAATTGATTGAGATCAAACCTCAAGTGGTTATTATTAATTATCATGGCTACTTATTAGTGGATCAATTGGTGGCTGGACTTTGTGGTATTGGAGTGGAAGTTTGAAGGGAGTACTTTGAGAGGACTACAATTGGAACAAAGGTTCCGTTTGAGCAACAAGAGTCTACTTGCAGAGGTGATTGAGGAGGCATGACTGCATGTTGCAAGAATTCCAAATTGAAAGATGTGCATAGTATGAAAGTGTTAAAAACCAAAAATTAGGCTTAAGTCTTCTTACCCGTTGTGTGTATGTGTGTGTGTGTGTTTTTGTTTTTTTTTTTTTTTTTTAACAATACTCGTTGAGAACGTTAGCAATGCGACGGAAGAGCATTGCTACAAAATTTGTCCAATGGATTTGTGCCCTCAAGAATGAGACTTCTTGTTCTTCTTCCCATAATTAAACTAAAATTGAAATCTCACACTGAAAAAATAATTTTAGATTTTAACTAAAAGTGAAATTCTAAATTGGATAATAATTTTGAGACGGAAGAACTATTAGAAAAGAGGGACATTTATATGATTTAAGATTCTTTTTCTTCTTTTCGATTAGGTAACCATCCATTTTATCCATTTTTATTTCTATTTTTCCAAAACACGGTATCATATCAAAAAGTTCTTTAAGAACCACTGAGATGATAGTTAATGGTAAAATCTCTGTTACTCTTTAGATTAGTTCTTGAGTTCAATCTTCAATTTCAATAAAAATAAAATTTGACTCTGTTTTTGTGCATCGGTATCTCGAAAGGGTTCGTTATAGTTTCCGAATTCACACCAAGATTTATCAGTCTAAACTTACCTAAGATGATTTATCTTTCACCGTAGTTTACTGTTAACTATTACAGTGGGCATGTGTTTACTTACCTATAATGAAGTTTTTCGCGTGAAGAAAGAAAGGATTAAAAAAAAAAAAAGTCAAAGTCCGACAATTGTCCACACTAGGACACTGGTTTACACTATCTTTAAACGGGCGATATATCATTGGACCTACGTCTGAACTTGGGCAACCACTAAAACATGCTTTTTCCAAATTTCCAAAAAAGGAGTTGGCCCTTAAAATCATTATAGTGCTGAAATGAAAACCCAAATAAGTCGCGTCAAAAATTAAATAAACAAATAAAAATTCGTGAGCATGATTGCTTGCAATTTCCATTAGCTTGGCCCCTGGCTTTCTAAAATCTGCTATAAAATGTTGGGAGTGTACTTACAAACTCTCATCGATTAAATCATTAAAAAAAAAAAAAACAAGAAGGAATGGTTAGCTATCTCAGACCATCGTTCTTACCCGCCGTGACAGCGGCATTGTTGTTGTTTTCAGCATTCATCAGCTCCGGCGAAGCTCGCGGCCTCGCCACATACTGGGGACAAATCGGGAAGGAAGAAGGCAGTTTAGCCTTAGCCTGTTACCTAAGCGGCTTTGACTGGGCCGTCATTTCCTTCCTCAACAACTTCGGCGGCGGCAAGACCCCGAAGTTGAACTTAGCCGACCACTGCGACGCCGCCGACGGCAACTGCGCCTTCCTGAGCACCCAGATAAAAGCATGTCAGTACCTTCAAGTCAAGGTCTTCCTCTCCGTCGGAGGCCCGGACCCGAATTACAGCCTGGACACTCAGGAAGACGCCGATTTCCTCGTCAGCTACCTCTGGGACAACTTCCTCGGCGGCACGGCGGAATCCCGTCCGCTGGGCGACGTCGTTTTGGACGGGATCGATTTCGCCATCGAGAGCGGTTCGAACAAGTACTGGAAGTACGTCGCCGAGAAGGTCCACGCGCTGAGCACTCCGGCGAAGAAAGTGTACCTCACGACGGCTCCGAAATGCCGGATCCCGGATTATTACATGGACGGAGCGATCAGGCTCGGGATTTTTGACTACGTTTGGGTGAAATTCTACAACGACTCGTCCTGTCAGTACGAGGAAATCTCGAACGATTTCGGGGTTAATTCTCAGAAGCTTCTCGCGAGTTGGTACACGTGGCACGATTATCCAGGGATTAACAAGCTGGTTATGGGAACTCCGTCGTACCCTGAAGCTACGCCCGGTGGCGGATACATGTATGTTGATCCTTATTACTATTACATCCTTCCGATTCTTCAGAAATCGGCCAAATTCGGTGGGACCATGTTTTGGACGGTGAATTACTCCCCGGAGAAAACTGTGGGAGGATCGGTTTCAGGTTCAAAGGGCTTGGCTATCGTGTAATAATGTGTGCTATAGATTTTTGTGTCATGTCGGAAAAGTAATTAGTACTCGCTAGTTATATAATAAGATCTTCCGGCTTGAGTTCAGTTTCTTTACTTGAGGGAAAATTCTAGCTTAATTTGTAATGCCACTTTTTTTGGGACACACTTTAGTTCCATACTTCCATTTTAGCTTTTTGGTTTGGAAACCTATGGTTTTTATTTGTCTTGCGAGTGAATAAAAAATCCAGCAAGATTTATGGTTTGTCTCAGATGTTCAAACTTCAAATTAACAGCACAACAATTTATATCGAAGTTGCAAATTTGAATTTTTTTTTTCTTCATTCATTGCGCTTGTTACATTTGCAGTTATATAAGAACTAGTGATTACAATCTTTCCACTACTTACAAGTTTTAAGAGGAGTTTTAATCAAGTTGCATTTTCGTTCTAGGCTTTTTTTTCCGAACGGAAGTTTTGATGCCACGGAAAAAATGGATGACGAGGACATATGTTATTGTTCTTCAAATGGGGAAAATGAAGAGAATGATTAAGCAGTTTAATTGAATAAAATAATCTCTATGCTGATTATTTTTGATGAATTAACCTTGTTTTATTATCGAATTTATATACTCCCTCTGTCGTAAAATTATTGTCTAGTTTGTATTTTCATTTTTAGTTCAAATTATACTAAAAATAAAATAATAATTTTTTGGACAGAGGGAATATTTTTTTTTAAATGCCTGAAACCACACTGCAGAATTAACCTGCGCACATCCACTATAATAATTGATAAACAACTGTGGAAAAAAAATCGATGAACTACTGGGATGAGAGATGAGTTTTTACTTCTATACTCAGTGCTATACTACTTAAATGATTAATACATGAAATTATCATTAATGATTTAATACTATGACTCAAATCAAATGAGAAGTGAATTTATTCGACTAAATGATTATTCAATATTTTAACTGGTGTGGAATGTAACTAAAGTGTTACACAAAACCTTTTATTGGTTCTAAACAAGTCTTGAGCGATAAATTCAGGAGCAAAACGGGCAATTCCTGCATGGATTTGCCTCAAAACATTCTGCAGAATTGCTTTTATAACTAGTATTCATTTAGTTTTAGTGTATTACGGTATATCTTTGTGAAATCGGAAATCATGCAAAGATTTGTCTTGACAAACCATCTAGAGATGCGTTTGAAATTTGTATTTGATGTAGTTTTAGTGAATTGCGGTATTTATTTATGAAGAATTTGCCTTTTCATCTTTTTTAAAAAATTCTATGTCGCGTTCATTTCAACTTCATTTTTCTAATACTCTCGTTTGCCTCGTGCACCAAGTTTCTGATACTGTCACCATCAACCATCAATGATGGTGGAATTTAATTAAAATTAATCTTTTATGCACAACAAGTGAGACTGTGTAGGACAAATTCGCTTTAACATTTGTGGCCACAATGTACTTATATTGCCATCTATTCCTTTTGGCCACTGGCCATTATTTCACAGGAAAACAAAACACAATTCATCAATATATTCCACAGTATATAGTTTGTGGGGTTGCTTCCAGGTGAAATTTCTTTTTTGTCCAACTTGACAGCGAATCGAAAAAGTTTATCTTGAAAGTAAAATTCCAACAACATATTTCCTGATAGAGGGAGTAATATTTTCGTTGCAGAGTGATGATTTTTAGCACAATATCTCAGTTTAACGGCTACCGTACGTCTTAAAAATATTTTTAACGACTACCTTGGTTTCTTTTTAAACCGAAAAGAAATTAGTCCGATTTCCAAAAATTTATTTTACATGGAGAACTAAAACACTTCTCCGTTTTTTATTAACTTTTAATTAAAAGAAAAAATTGATATACATTATATTACTCCCTCCATCTTGAAATCAATATCCAGATTAGATTTTCAGTTTTAGTACTCCATCTCGAAATTAATATCTAGATTAGATTTTCAGTTTTAGATTTCGAGACGGAGGAAGTAATCCATTTCATCCGCATAGTAATACAATTGAAGCATTTATTAGCACGGTTCCTAAGTAATGGCGTTTGACAATCACTACATATCTTGGATCTTCATACCTGACGTGCTTACAAAATTGTGAGAATGCGTCTTTCTATTCTCTGAAATAGAGTAAAATCAAATTCCATCTTTTAAGTAAATACATCATGGTGACCATCTAATATTGGTTATGCGTAAAATCTATATTCAAATCAAAATTAAACTATAATTTTTTATATTGCCTTTATCCTTAGTTACTTCGAAGTTCAAAGTAAGGGATTACAACATATCAACAGAATAAAAAATATACTGTAAACATAAGGAAGCATAAATTTCACAAACAACCAGTAATCCAGTATTAAAAAACTACGATTCTTTGCGACACATTAAATTTCAAATCAGATTACGTACGTTTCAAGCTTAGTTATGTTATAAACCACCTACACTTTACAATGCCTTACATCAAGCCCTCAAAGAGATGAGAGATGAACAAAAATGGATAGATGTTTAGGAATGAAATTAATGCTGAAATCACAATATGTAATGAGTATATGGAGTGCGAGAATGAAGAACACGGCACGGGGCGCATAATTATGTTGCAAAGAATATTGGGCTGAATGCCACGATGAAGTGAGTATCTTGGGTGAAGAGAGTTTACAAATGGACTTTAAGTTCATTTATGACGGACATTTGTTTGTTGATGATTTTTAGTTCATTTTTATGGATTGAGTTTGAGTTCACTTAAGCTTCTGGCTGATTAATTTTTATCACTACCCCACTTCTTTTTTTTGAAAAAAACTAATTAGTTGGTTGCCTAGTCATCAATATACTCGTTCAGCTTACACTACAAGTGAGAATTTTCTTTTTATAACTTCATTTCGAAACCGCAATATTTCTATCTTGTCAAATAATTTTTTCATCCGATCTGATGTTTATTCTTCGATCCTTTCTTCGCGGAGTTCAGGTGCAGAAGATGTGGGGGAAGGTTAAGGTACGGAAGATGTGGAATGGACTTTAGGAACAGTGGAGCACTGGACTAATGGACCAAATGAGTTATGGATGTTTATTTATCATAAAAAGTAAAGGAGTCCGGACTCCGGAGTCACTCTGTTAATGACAAGAGTTACCCTGAAAATAACGATTGATGGGTACATGGGGTAGAAGCTTTTCTTGGAGGTAAATGAAATTTTAGCTTAATGTAATTCTTATACTGTTCTTAATGTAATTCTTAATTTGTAATCAATATTTATGCTACTTTTGTAGGGTTGAGGGGTTATTTTATTTTTAATATTACAAAATATATAAATTACAAAAATGTAAATCATTGGTATACCATCCTCAAATCATTGAGCAGAGATTGCCGATTGGGTTTGAAATTCACGATGGGTCTTCTTTGTAATAAATTGTACCTTTTGATATTACTACAGTGGCTTGAAACATGATTTGGTCAAGATTTGTAACCCACCGGTCATAATTTAGTATAACAAATATATGTGTTACAAAATGTAAATCATTGGTATACTATTATTGAAGTTCATGGGTTCCACCTCAAAACCATTTGCCAATGAGTAGAGTAATCCATTGAGCTTATATATTGATAAAAAGTTACTCCCAATATCAATGTGGGACAAGAGTTTCATCACTCCTCCTCAGACCCAACGGACACGGACTAGATCACCCGATATGTTTATGGGTTAGTCTGATCGCCTTTGGCCCAGTAGGCATGGATTTAGATAAATCCGATCGCCTATTATAATACTGGGTCTGACCTGCTCTGATACCATATAAAAATTTATGGGGTTTCACCTCAAAACTATCAGATCCGGCGACGATCGACATGGTGAAAGATAAAATCAAAGAAGAAAAATTAAAGAAAAAACAACAAAATCAATTCAAATCTTCGCTAATCTCCTTCTCTTAGAGACGGCCGGTTTTATCCGTCTGATTTTCCCTAATTATTACATAATTACAATTGAGCCCTTACAATTCTGCTTAATATAATTTAAACCCTCAGTTCATGACAAATCCCTCCCGCTAAATTAAGTCTTGTCCTCAACACTTGAACGGTTAAAACTGAACCTACACATATAATACTCAATACAGCTTCCATTTCTAGAACCAGAAAGAATAAGATAATCATTGCCCTTTGAAGTAATGGCTTTTGAAAGTAAAAAGGTTGCTGCCAAGACTCCAAATTTGATAGGCAGGAAGCTCTGAATGTAATTTCCAGTAGATAACTCTTGAGTAGCAGATGATCCCTTCACTTTGTAATATATGAAAATGGTGCCACCCTTGAATACAGTGACAACCTTGTCCCATGGTGCTTGAAGTCTATGCAAACGATTCTGATCACCAACAGATGCAAGACACATATAGAGGTATGATAGTTGTGGTTGCCAAAATTTTGCCGTTGGTTCTACATCTTCTTCCATCTTGGTGGTGGTGATGGATATGAGTGGTTCATCAGTTCCTTTCACTGATGTTATATTCTCTTTCATCAAGATAAAACTTCCATTGGTTCCACTTCAGCCATCAACCTTCTTCAGTCCACCAACAACCAGAGAATAGATAGGTAGCTCAGGTCTGACTTTATACAGAAACAGCTCATTGATCACCAAAGGAAATGAATCATCTCCTCCTATCATAGACAGATTTAAATCCCAACAGTGATTAAGGTTACACATTAACATGCATTCCAGAATGTCCCAGCAGGAAAAAGAACTTTGAAAACTGCTCTTTTCCCCTTGAAAGTACCATTTTCCTCAAGGTAGAAAAATGAATAAGAAGTTTCAATCCTTTTCCAAATAAGTAGTTCCAGGTGAACATCAACTTCAGGGTTGCTTGCTGCAAACTTCAGTGGTTTCAGCTTCCATTTCCTTGCTTCTAATACCAGGCTTAAGAAGAGAAGCAATGTAGGATTCTGCTCAAGAACAATCATACCAAGAGCAATGTTTTCATAAACTAAGATCACAAATTCAGGATTAATATCATTCAAATTCAGATCTCTAGAAAAGCTCAATTGCATCAAAGAACTCACAAAGTTCAGAATTCCATTCAGTTGAAACTTCTTCTTTGAGAATCTTTCTGATGTTATACCACCTCTGATTTTTTGAATACTTTAACACAATGATCATGAAGTTCAATGAACTGCTGAACTTGAAGCTCGTAAAGATTTCCAAAGACAACCCAAGCAACCAAATTCACAAAGATCACATGAGTTCCAACTTGAATACCATAAGCAATTAAACCAGAATTTCTAGATGTCATCCCCTCTTTCGGGATCGCATGATTAACAACAATCACAGGGGCAAAGATCCAAGTTGTTTAGAACTACACGTAGAAAATCAACAACCTTCGCTATCAATAAATCCCATGCATCCACATTCTTAGAGAAATTAAAATCTCCAAACTCGAGATGATAAAGAAACCATATCAAAACCTTCATAACTTCCGATCCGATGGGGTGTTGACTAGCTACAACAACCAACCTATAACTACCCATATTTTGAGTCAACTGGTTAAAGGCATTATACCCAACCCACAAACAGAGATCAGTCTTAAAAGAGCTTCCAAAATCATCAAACTCAAGTTCAATCACCACAGACTCATCTGCAAATATCATTTACAAACATGTAGTTTGCAAAAATAAAGTACTAGTACCTCCCAGGAATCCCGAAATGATCTCTGACCATGGTTTGTATCCTCCCTCAGTCAAACAATTTTTATCAATATAATTCAAGTGCTCAACAATTTCCACTACCCAGGGATTTTTCTGAACTAAAATACCAGTTCCTCTCCTAAATGTAGTCACCCTGTCAACCCATAATTCATGCAATTTCTTGACCAGTCTAATTTTGTTCAAACCAACAAATGATTTACGGATCTCAGTAGCAAAAATACTATCACCCAACTTCTGTAAAGGGACAACAGTGTCTCCCACGATCAAGTCATCAGTACATTCCTTGAATTTTAGGCAAAGAGAATTTTATCTGCGATGTACCATGCTACCAATTATGAGATCCCATAGGTTACAACAGAACACATAATCATCTGAATTCTCAAATAAAATATCATCATCAGAATGCACACTTTTACCAATAGTTTCTCTGATATAAAAATTTATCATTCCACCAGGCTCAATAGCAAATAAAGTCGCAGAGAGAAATTCCTTAACCACAAATTCAGACATCACCGACCTATAACAACTCACAGGATCATCATATAAATCATTGAAAATCATAGAATTTGCAACCACTTTTTCAAGCAAAGCACGTGCATTGTCATTAGAATTCCACAGTTCACCAAAAGCCCGAAAATCATCATCAGAACTCAACAATGCATCACAAACCAGAAAAGCATTAGCACCTTCTTCTTTCAAAAACTCAGAATCAACAACCCAATCCTCGTCAATTTGAATTTCATCAGTCAAATCCAAGAAAACAATATCATGCATAAATAGAAAATCATCTTCTAAAGCCACATGGCCAACTAGGTTCATATTTGAAACATCTTCATCACACGAGCTAACAGTTGAACTCATCAAAGCAGCACTAGCCCCATTCAAATTTTCAGAATCATGAACCAAATGTTCTAAAGAGACATTGTTATCATCATCACAATTCGACAACTTGTCAACAGTCAAAAATTCATCATCATTGATCTCAAAAAAAAAAAAAAAAATCATCCTCAAGCTTAGCACAGATAAACTCATCATCAGAATAAATCATTTCACCTTTCCCAGTCACTAACGAAGCATCATCAATCAAAAAGTCATCATCTTTTACCCCTTTTAAAGACTGAGACAACTTCCACATACTTATCAATTGGAGTTAAAATTTCATCAGTCAACTTAAAGAAGACAAAATCGTCCTCTTCATTCAAATTTACTGAATCAATCATCACTAGATTATCACCCAAATCCAACAACAATCCATCATCAACAGAACCTACCATTTCGTTTAAAACTTGAGAAAGAATGGTATTACCTCCTTCTTCCGATGTCAAGGGCTCCAAGAGTGAAGAATCAGTTTGGCTTACTTCACTCCCCAAATCAATTTCGTCGTGACTCATCTTTTCCTCCAAACGCTTGATGAAACCATTGGAGACTTCCAACCAAGTTATATTAGGTTTCAACATCATCATTGCTTCGAGCCAAATCTCGGCAACATCTTCTAAGTATGGTTTAATCATCTCCAATCGATCAGATTCTGGAATAGACAAAATTGAGAAGTATTCGTTGCAATTTTGGAGCCACGCCTTTGTTTCATTTTCGGAGAATTTGCTCAATACAAGCTGGTTCCTCAAGTCGTCGAGTAGCTCTAGCATTTGTCGAGTTTGATCCCCCCATTCTTCTTCGAAAATCTTAAGAAATTCAGGAATTTTCGACGCCCGAGGATTCGACTCTCCTTTCGGCGGAGGATTGCTCCGACGTGGTACTATCTCCGGCCAAGGAATGCTTGGCGTTTCCGGCCAAGGACTGCTTGGCAATTCAGGTCGAGGATTGCTCGGCTCTGATACCACTTTGTCAGACGAGGATCGACATGGTAAAAGATAAACTCAAAGAAGAAAAATTAAAGAAAAAACAACAAAATCAATTCAATTCTTCGCTAATCTAGATGGCCGGTTTTATCCGTCTGATTTTCCCTAATTATTACATAATTATAATTGAGCCCTTACAATTATGCTTAATATGATTTAAACCCCCAATTCATGACAAAAAACCAATAAACAATGAGAGGTGTAGTCCATTAAACTTATATATTGATACAAACTTACTCCCAACACCGATGTGAGACAAGAGTTTCATCACTCCCCTCAGGCCAACGGGCATGGACTAGATCATGCGATATTTTTATGGGTTAGTCTGATCGCCTTTGGTTAGTTTCAAAACACAAAGGAAGGTTTTCTTTTCAATATTGTTTTTTAAAATTTCATGATTAGGCTGTCGTATTTTGCTTTGAGTTTGTTTCTATTTTTGGGTTTCAATTCACTGCTTTGGTTTTGATTTAATTTGCATGCATAGGTGGTATTGGGTGGTAGCAGTAAAGTAAACAAGAAACCAAGAGACATGAATTCGGGCGGTGAAAACAGCTTATCTGTTCCCAACTCGAGTACTTTATGGAAGTCTTCCGGTGATGGAGGGTTTTCCCCTAAATTTCTGAATGGTATCCGTGTACTTGTGGTGGATGATGATCCCAACTATCTTATGATATTGGAAAAGATGCTTATTAGCCTTCATTATGAAGGCATGTGTCTCTTTTTTTTTCCTCTTAATTGAAATGCGATTACTTATACTTTGTTGGTGAATTTCAATTACTATTGATGGTTGTTCAAGTCAATTGCTGAATTTAGAGTTCCAAGCAAATCATAAAAACAACAATATGTCATGTTCAATTGCTTTGAAGGGGGAACAAAAACAAGAGGCTTCTTGCAAATTTGAGTTATGCTAAATGCTCATGGACCGACCTTACGCACCAACACTAAAGTTCGAAATTATATGATATATGCTTGGGGGTGTTTCTTCTATGGATATATTCTTGTAATATAAAAAAAAAAAAATTTAACTGGTTCGATTATTTGGTAATTGTTTCTATTAAAATGTTGGATTTGTGTCCAATTTCGGATTAACATTAAGTTATATATTAACTACTTCGATCGTGAATCATGTTGAACGGCTCAGTAGTATATTGAAGTTTTATTACTATAATTTTGGTTTCTTGTTGTTTACAGAATTTTTAACAGGATTTTCGGAGACATCCATTGGTTGATAGATAAGTGTCATTGATTTCTTTTAGGTTCCTAACTAATCCCAAAATCGGATGATAAATATGATCTATATTCATGTGATATTTTTGTATTATATTTCGTGTGACACTAGTTGAGTGTTTTGTTTGACACTATAATTATTTTTAATATTAATACTATAACCAAATGATAATTAACCTTGATAAAAAAAAATTAATTAAAAACGCCAAACGTGTCAATTATCTAATTAGTTTCACAAGAATGTAGCACAAAAGTGTTACACAAGATTTCACATATAGTGTAATAGGTGTTACTGTAACATTGATTGCAAAATAATAGAGTTCTAATAACTGCAATCTAAGTTTTCTTGGTTGGAAATAGATGCCGCTTGCTGCTGGACCCTTTACTTTGGATCTATTTTATAAGGATGCCCGTTAATGTATGGTATAGTTTAAATAGTTTTGAATTTCCATTAAATCTTCATCAAGAATAGCAAGATACGATACTAGCACTTGCACTTTTGTTTTTGGTCTTGAATTATATTGGAAAAGTGTTTGCTTTCTAATTCTCTTTTGGTTTCCATTTTATAGTTACAAAGTGTAGTTTGGCGGAGACCGCATTGGATTTGCTCAGAGAAAACAGAGAAGGGTATGACATAGTGATAAGCGATGTTCACATGCCTGATATCGATGGCTTCAAACTACTCGAAAAAGTCCGGCTCACTACAAGAAAAAGGAGCTTTTATGACATCAAAGAACGCCTCCATATATATGTTATAAAGGCACTGAATTTTTAATGGCATTGTCCAAATGTGTGGTATATACTCATGTCATGATAGCTTAAGTAAGTTATTGTGACATTTATAATTGCCTTTATAAAATGAAAGGTTTTACCATGATTTTTTACTCTACTCATCTATCGTGACACTTGCTATTACTAGTAACCGTTCTCCAGTTTTTATTTTATTTATTTATAATAAACTCAAAATTGACATCTTCATTATTACGATGTACAAAAGAAAATAGACAGCAATTAACACTTTAAATAGAAGCCACACTTTGAATCCGAAAATCTTTACAAAACAGAACAAAAAGAAGTAAGAATCTCCACTATAAAACCTCATGCTACCAACCTCTTCGATTACAAAAAAAATCTAAAACCAAAAATTAAATATTCTGAATCCTAATCTATTTGAAACTAGAATACGCCCAATCTTTGGTTGTGGAACTTAAATCTGAGACTCCCTTCCAATCAATGTTTGTAAAACTCAGAACATGTAGCTTTCTTTCAATATTTGTCCAAGCAAAATAATCAGCTGCAACAATCAATTTTGCTTCCTTAGTGGTATAAAGTACTCATGCTTCACCATTACATCCTCTGGGATAAAATCAGAGCAGGGTTTGGGAGAAGTATTTTACCAAGAATATGTCCAGAGTACAGGCATAAATCTCAAAAAAAAAATAAATAAATAAATAAGAAAGAAAGAAAGAGCTTACATGTAAACAACTCCATAGACATTTAGATGCATCAGAAATCCAAATGATCCAGTGCCATTCTATAAATTAATATCAGTCTCTCTTTCCTTCCCATGAGACCCCAAAGTGCTAAAAACACAGTAAAAGAATAACAATATCATCATTTTCAAGTTGTTTGGATACATGTAGCTCTAATAAACTATTAGATTTGTAATCTCAAATAATAAATTGAAGAAAATTGAAGTGTGCAAAAAGACATGCTTAGGAAGGTATTAAACACATGAGGATGGGAATTATAGAAACAAACCTCTGAACATTAGAATTATTATTGCTGTCAGTCCCTCCGGAAACTTTACAAACTAACAAGCTATCCAAATGTGAGAGCTCCTCTGCAAATTCCAAATCAGGTTCATAAATTGGGACTACTAAACATGAAAAAGATTATAGATAGCAATAGATAATCATTCCATTTGAAAGGCTAGTTGTAAAACTAAGAATTAAGTTACAGCAGAAACTTTTATTTCGAGTGAAGAACGTACCAAAGACACAGCTCTTCTCCAAACTATAGAAACATCATAAGTTGTGCAGAGTTGAGACATTGCAGCCTGATTAGCATGATCAAGACTGTTTGGAATAAAATAGGTATACTTTAGCAACACATAATTTTGACAAGAAAACCATCAAAAACTACTTTGTGACATGAATTTCAATCAGATGGTCCTCCTCTCTTCCTAATGTCGTAGAATCTAGCAAAGTTACGACCATCACCCATGCCAGTCTCCACAAAATCTCAAACTTCCAACTCATCCTAAACCAATTTCTCATGCTCAAATCTTCAAGTAAGACTGTAAACACTTTCCCCTAATGCCTCGATTCCCAAATATTATTTGGTGATCAACACCACAAATCTTATCTCCTCTCCAAGTACCACACCAGCTACAACAGTAACATAAAAAAGTTCAATGTCAGACGTGAGATGACAGAGATCCTAAGGACTATATATTATTGCCAGTTGCAATGTAGCATCTTGTAGAAGAAACTCTTGTAACATCCTCTTCCAAAAAAAAAAAAAAAACCTCTTGTAACTTATTAAATACTTCCGATCGAAAGATTATTTAATTTAAATTCCCCTGAAATAGGTTAAAGACGACTAACCTCTATGAGACAACACCAGCAGAAGTCGACTATTGAATTTCAGAAAATCAAACAACTACCAGAATAGAGTAAATATAGAAAAGGAGAAATAAGATCAAATCACTTCATTCAAATTCAAAATCAAGATAGTATTACTCTAAGTATGGGCTTACCCCAATTGCATGGCTTGATGAATACAACAATGGAAAATGAACTTATCAGCACCAGAAAAAGTCTGTCATTTTGTGCCACCGAATTGTTGGCTTCTTCCAGATTTACTGAGTCACTGAATTTCCAAACCCCAATTGATCGACTTCCCAATTGAGAACACCCAAGTTACTGCAGTTGAAAATCAAACCCTCGGCCACTCCCCACCAATCCCCTCCACCGGTTCTGGTCGTCCACAAGACGTTTCCACCAACAGTAGGCTTGCAGCATCAATTCCATTACCCCTCCTCTCCTATTACTCGCAAAACCCAAACTCTAATCCTGATAATGAATCAAATTAGCACAAATTCAAAAAAAAAATCTAGAAACTCTAATCCTATCAGAGTCCTGTATAAGAGTTCTGTATAAGTTGGGTGGGAATACTGAGTGGTGGTGGTGTGTTGAAGGATGAAGGGCGTCGGTTGCTTTAGTTAAGAAAAAAAAAACAAAAGTGAAAAGAAAATGTAAAAGTTGGAGTTAGGCGTGAGTGGCTGAGGGTTTTCACCTTTGTTTTATTTTATTTTAATTTATGATTGAATTTATTTCTTAAATTAGTGGGTTAGATTATTTTTTCTTTTTTCTTTTTTTACAAGTGCCTTCTTTCATGTGCCATTAAAACTTTAGTTCACTATTAGGAGTTTAAAGTGCCTTATTTGGCTATGTAATGTGACATTTTACCATTAATGCCTTTATATATCTATTCTATTGTGACATTTTCTTAATTATGCCTTAACATCTATGTCATTTTAGCTATATTTTCTTGTAGTGGCTGGAAATGGACTTGCCTGTTATCTGTAAGTCACCGGAAATTGTAAAAACATGTCGTTGGAACTACAGTAAAACATGTTTCAAACAACATTGAATTTTTTATGATGTTTCCATATGTCAAATTTCGATCTGCAGTGACGTCCGCTGATGGTAGTATGCTGGCTGTCATGAAGGGCGTGACTCATGGTGCTTATGATTATTTGATAAAAGCAATTCGAATTGAAGAGTTGAAAACTAGGGCTGGCAATCTGTGTCGGGTTAGGGTTGGCGTGTCGGGTCGGACCCGAACCCGAATAATATACAATCAAATCTAATCCGACCTGTATAAATAAACAGGTCACGTTTTGCAACCTTAACCTGACCTGAAAATATTTAGGTCACCCGTGACCCGACACGGCAACCCGGAATTTTAAAAAATAAAATAAAAAATTCCAAAAAAAACTAAAATATGAAACTTTCATTTTCATATCACAGATTCACACTGTGATCACACAAATCTGGCAATCTAAAATTCTAGCCATTTTGATAGTACACAATCTAAAATCTGAAAAATTCAAGTCCAAATCACAACAATTACAAAGTACCAGCATTCAAATTACAACATTAATTTAAATCCAAATTACAACCTTCAAAGTTATCAAGAGAGAATGATTAAGATGACATTTGAAATTTGGCATGACCAAGTTGGTACTCTGTAGGAAGTTGGTACTCAGTTGAACTTGAAACTCTTGTGTCTTGAGGGAAAGCTCAGCTCCAAGAAACTGCCAGGAGTAGAGCAGCACATCCTACAAGCAAAAAAAATAAACCCGTGAACTCAAAGCATAACATTCAGAGCAGATTTCAGTGCAGGAAACATTCTGATTTCAGAGCAGATTTCAAAGCATAACATTCTGATTATATACCAATGATTTCAGCAGAACATTCAGAACAGATTTCATTAATCAAAAACTCCAGAACATTCAGAACAGATTAATGAAAACTCTAGAAACCAATGATAAAAAATTCAGAACAGATTCAGAACATTCACAAACTTACCAAATATATTATCAAGTTGTATTAGAACTTCCCCCTTCAATCAATAGAACACCACCACCATTGTTGATATTCAAGTTCATTATGTCTCTGGTCAACTCTTCCAAGTTTAATTCATCCAATTCTGTTTAGAGGGAAAAACATATGCAATAAATATTTTACATTTACATATGAGATTAACTGATTAATAAACCAAAATGCAAACAGCAAACACTTCACCTTTGTGTCCAAATAACTAATCTCAAGAGCAAATCAAGGCTTCGACAATATCTGGAGTCATTGAGCTACGATATTGATCTAGAATTCTTCCTCCAAGGCTAAAAGCGGACTCGGATGCAACGGTTGATACGGGAACACAAAGTATGTCCCTAGCAAGCCTAGCAAGATCAGGATACCGATATTGTTGGGATTTCCAAAAATCAAGTACATTGATTTTATCGGTCCTGTTATGCTTTGGGTCAGCTAAATACATCTCTAGCTCAGTTTATTTGCCACTTGAATCAAACTCAGCACTCTCAAATTCATCAAATTCCTGTAAACAGTAAACAGTGAGCAGTTGTCAGAATAAATCAGAAATAAAATAAAAATCAGATTATGACATTAGAATAGAAAAATATATAATACACTTACTTACCATCATTAAAGTTGAAGTATGACTCCCTTCAGTTTCTCTTCGATGCTCATTGTTACTACCAGAAGAACAAGATGATGATGCCTACATCCAATTGTCACAGCTGGTTAGTAAGACATATAACAGGACAGCTGACCCAAACTGAAATTAAACCCATCCCCCAAAAAAGAAGAAGAAAATGACCTGACCTGATTAGATGGTGAAGCTAGCAAGTACTCATCATAAAGAGCAAAGAGGGCAGCCTTAAAATCAGCCAACTGTTGCGAAGATGGGCCATAAAGCTTCCCATAACAGAATTCTATGAATCGAAACTTGTACCGAGGATCAAACACCGCCGCAGGTGACAACAAGAGATTAAAATTAGACCAATATTTGTCAAACTTATCAACCATATTCTTAGCAATTCTTTCCAAGTATGAATCACTGCTTGAGATTGCCTCTTGCAACTTTTGTTGAATTGGAAATACCTTTGGAAGATACATATTTGCTGTGGAATAAAGAGTTCCAGAGAAGGTATTTGTAGCATCATAAAAAGATTCAAGAAATCCACATATCTTTTCAACCCTTTCCCATTCATCCAAAGTAGGAAAACACTTAAAATTCATATCAGCCCACTGAAGATGCTCAAAAGCCCTACGATATTAGAGAGCAATTGAAAGCATCTTATAGGTCGAATTCCACCTAGTAGGCACATCTTGCTTTAAACCTCTCTTAGAATCTAAAGAGGTTTGTGCAATAGACAGCTCAAACTTTTGCTTTCTAGAACTTGAACCCTTAACAAATTTGACACATTCCCTTATTTTGATCACAGACTCATCAATTTCTTTCAAGCCATCTTGAACTACCAAATTAAGTATATGGGCTGAGCATCTTACATGAAACAGTTCACCTTTATACACCAAAGCATTATTAAGCATCAATTGTTTTTTCAGAATATCAACACAAGCATCATTAGCCGATGCATTGTCAAAAGTAATTGAAAACAACTTTTTTTCAATACCCCAACTACAAACCAAAGAATAGATCTTTTCACTCAATGCTTGTCCCGTATGTGGAGGTGGCATGCAAGGAAAATTCAGTATTCTCTTTTGCAATTTCCAATTAGCATCAATAAAGTGAGCAGTTAAACTCAAATAACCATCAGTAACAATGGAAGTCCAAGCATCCGATGTCAAGGCTATTTTATTAGGACAAGCAAGTAATTCAGCACGAAGTCTACCATATTCCTTGGAATACATCTTCCTAATATCAGATTTTGCAGTGTTTCGAGTAAATTCAACAGCTTTTGACTCTAGATACTTAAAAATATTCCAAATTCCTTCATACTCCACAAAAGAAAAGGGCATGTCATGTCTAATCATTGCATGAACAACTAGCTCTCTAAACTTTTCTTGAGAAAAATGTGGATTTCTAGTTCCTAAACAGGTAGCATCCTTATCAGAGACAATCAGAAACTGCCCAATATCAGTGGTAGTCATCTTCACACAACTTTTAATATGGCGAAGTAAATTACTGTGCCATTCTCACTTCCAGCCAAGTATTTCTTACCACATTTTTTACATTCACAGTGAAGCTTTTCATTTGGTTTCTGGGGCAGAATTCGAAAATGATGCCAAACTGAAGATGTTAACCTTCTTTTCTTTCGCCCTCCTTTGTTTGCAGGAGCTGCTTCATCACCTTCTTGTGTGCCAGTTGTGTCAGTTCCACCATTGATTGAAACTTCAACATCATTAGCAGCATCGGTCTCACTGCCGTTAACCTCAAAACCGATATCAAATTCAGCTTCTTCGTCAATTGGTTCCATTCCTAGAAAACCAGAGACAAACAAACAAAAAATTTCAGTAAACACTAATCGACCCAACAAAGCAAATCTAACTAAAGATTAACTAAATCAACTAAAGATTAACATGCAGGGCTAAACTAAATCAGTAAATCTTAGTTCTATCCCTTAAAAGTTAAAAGCTTCAAATCGGATTCACTATACCAAACACAAATCCGACCCACAGTTAAGCTTTCTTTCTTTTCTTGAAATTTACAAATTAAACTCCAACCGATAGGAGAACAAGAAGAAGAATAAGGAGGAGGGTGAGACATAACTGATTCGGTGACCGCCGTGAAGTGATGATTGATGACCGGGGAACACCAATTTGTGAAGAACCGTAACTGGGGTAGACGGCGGGAGAGGTTTCAAAGGCGTATAAATGGCGGAGATCGGGAAAATAGACTCTCCAAAGTGGAGGGGAATCAGAGCCGCCGTCGCTGAGAAGAAGAGGGCGGAAACCCTAAAGGGTGAAAAATTTGTGCCAAAATGAAGAATAAGAGTATTTATATGAGCTGACATTAGGGTTGGGGATGGCTGCAAAATTCCCAAAGTACCCCTATAATACACATAATTTACATGTTCGCGGGTAACCCGCCGGGTTGACCCTACCCGTATATTAAACGGGTCCAAATTTTCAACCATAACCTGACCTATTTAATATGCGTGTCGTGTTCGTGTTGGGTCATTCCGTGTCGGGTTCGTGTCGAAATTCCGAGTCGTGTCAGAGATTGCCGGTCCTATTGAAAACTATATGGCACAGCACGTAGTTCGTAACAGGAAGCATGAATCGATGGAAGAGGTGGATAACTCCTCATCGACAAAGGAAAGGAACACTAGTGTTAAGCGATGTTCAAAGAAGATAAATGAAGAAGAAGAAGAAGAGAACGCGAAGAAGAGAAACGAAGAAGAAGAAGAAAAGAAAAAAGATAAGCATGGGTCCAAAAAAAAAAAGATTTCGAGAAATCTGGAAGGGAGAAAGAAGAAGGATGAGAAATATAACCCATGCCCGCCAAACAAGAAATTGATTACACTTCTCCATTGACAAATGAAAGAAACTCGAACAAGTCAAAGAAGTCGAAAGAGGATGAAGAAGATGAAGTACTCGATGATAAAGATGATGATGCATCCTCCTCTATGAAGAAACCATGTCTAGTTTGGTCGGCATCGCTCCATGAACTATTCGTCATGGCAGTAAATAAGCTCGGGATTGACAGTACGCAAACAATATTTCTTTCACTTATTCTCTTCATTGGATCTCGCTTTTGGTTGTAAATTAGTGGTCATAAGTATTCCGGTTCTGTTGGATTGTTGTCCTTAATTTTTATTATCATTTCTTTTTAAAGTGATCTTCAGAAATTTTTGTGATTTTCTGATTTTGTTATTAATGCAGAGGCTGTTCCAAAAAAAATAATGAGCTTGATGAATGTACGTTGGCTGACTAGAGAAAATGTCTCAAGTCATCTTCAAGTAAGGGAAGCTTTTATTTTGGTTCGTCGTTGTATAATGCTGCATAGTTGTTAAGCTTTGTTTGTTTACAGCATGGAAGTAACATAAATGAAACTGATTTTTCTTCTGCAGAAGAATCGGGTATATCTAAGAAGAAAAAAGCATGGCGCACTTTATCCAAATCAGCACTCTTATATGGGGCTCCAAAATTCGACTTTCGAGTATATGCCTTCTTTTTTCGGTGGGGTTGATCATATTCAAGCATTCGCTTCGGCTGGTTTGGGTCTCGATTCTATTCAAGCACATGGTTTGGCCAACCACGCAACCTCAACTCTTCATTCCTGAGGTTGATCAGACAAGACATTTCAGCTTTGGAGAGAGACCGCAGAATTTGACGGGTTACCAATGGGCAAATAAACCAAGCTATTGGTAGTAGCTTCGAACCCATGACTAATACGCTCTCTCCTGGAGGACATATGCTAAATTGATATAAAGTTGGACATCTCCCAAGCATCAATCTTCGAACCCTATCCTTGATTGAACCTATGATCTTGAAAGTATTTTTCTTATTAGAGTTGTCAGTATTAATTCATGGTTACTTTTTCTTATTACAGTTTGTTTTAGATTTAAGAGACTAGCAACGGGTTTAGGTTTAAATATAATTTTTTTTTATATATCATTATTTCGACTAGTCTGGATTCAAATCGAGTAGATCCTTTTCGGAAGTGAAACTCACCAACAAGTAACACTACTGCATACCCATGTTTGAATTTGAACATGAGTCATAATTAAATTGGCCAATTTACCGCTTGGATTAAGTAATTATTGATACTTTAAATATACTAACTAATTACTTGCTCGTGGGTGATACATAAGAATATATATGTATATATATATATCTAATATATTAAAGTAGAGTTTTCAATCGAACACATGGTGTGATATTAGATAGGCTAATCCACGTGGCGCAAAATTAGATACTCAAGTCCACATGTCACAACCTTATCACTCCATCATTTAATAGTAACTTTTAATTTATAAATCAGTAAAATATATAAATAACTAATTTTATCTGGTTTAATTTCTTTTTTTTTTGTCATAAAAAGAAATAAAAAGATATTTTTTTCTAACATAAATTAAAATCAGAATCCTTACCTAATTAATCTGTTCCATTGGCTTCAATTTTTTTGACAGTTCATAGTTCTATCCTTTTGTTATTTTAGCGAAAGTAATTTATACTAATAAGCACATAAGTCACTGCTTTGGAGTATGTTATTTTTTCCACTAAAACGTTTTCCATTTCAGAATTTTTGTATAATTTTCTTCGTATCCTGCATGTACATTGCAATATGTTTGTATGATCAAAGGATGAAATTATTAATTTAATTTTTATACTCCATTCAAAATTCCATTAAATGAGAAAAGAAAAATGTTTTATTCGAAATTTCAATTTTAGTTGTTAACAGTAATTAGCATTCTTTTTTCCCCTTTATATTTTAGTGTTATAACAAAAATAAAGATAGTATGATATGCGTGAATTATTCCAAATATATAACCCCGGCCATTCATAGTCAAACTATTGTTCGTTCTATATATGATTATTTTTGTTGTAAACCACGTAGTGAAAGTTTTTTTTTTCTTTTGCACCATGGTTAGGAATTTAATTTTTCAAATTCTTGGGATCAATTTCTTTATGAAAACAAGCGCTGATCCGTAGAGTTGATTATGCTTAATTAACTTTTATTTTTCTTGCAATCACATTTTTAAAATTATCTTTTGTCTTAATTAACTTTACGAATTTCTTATTGGTAGGGTTAATTTTTTACCACTTTCAACAAAAGACAATCGTTGAAGATACAATTAAATTTGTGATTAAGGTATGAATTTAAGACGCATAATGTTGGGATGACGGATGCTTTTAGCCAGGAAAGGCACACGCAACATTAGCTATGGAGTTTGGCACAATTATACAATGAATTTTTACAAAATGAGTTATTACATGAACTATTTCTGTATCAAATATGAGTTTTGTGTATCACTTTGGCTAATAACCTTCTTTTGTACTTTCATGCAATTACTGTTTGCCAAAATAATTCTGCTACGAAGAGTATATATATATGATATAGTAAGGATTTGTTGAGTAGGAATCGTTTTGTGAAAATATAGGATTGTCTCTTTTATTATCCACCCATAAATTGCAAAAGATAAATCAGTATTTAAATTTTATTTTAATTTTACTAATCGATTCGCAAAATATTTTTTTTTTGGGAAAATACAAACCACAAGGCATAATATTTGGACTTACACTATAGTAGAGGATAAACAATCTCAATAGAACAAGTCACGATTTTGCACTCGGAGAGAATTCCACCACCAAATATTCGTTTTAAATAATCTAAAAAATTTATAACAAATGAACTTATTTTACCCCCAATCATTAAAAAGGTATAAATATCGAAGAAATGGCTCAAACAGGTCCTTCATATTATTTGATGAAACTGTATGCACAACATTTAAAATTTCTATTGTTACTGATGAAAGGGAAAACTTTAAACTACTTAAACAACACTAATAACCGACATTACATAACTACATATTAATCTAGAAAATTAATTTTAAATCCAAAAAAGTCCGGAACTAAAGAAATAAAGCATACCAATTGGGTCCTAAATAGTCACAGAATTTACGTAGATCAATTAGCAATTGCGAGATGAAACAGAACATCAGATTTTATGAAGAGAAGAAATGCACCCCAAAATCTCTACAATACTAAAATTAGTAAAAGAACTTTTAACTATCGATTATAAGTCTAAATTAATCAAGAGAAAAATATGAGTAGATGAAGATTTATCCAACAGTTAAATTAAATGCTGGGGAGGAAACTTCAAAGCCTGAAGTAGAAGATGTATGTTGGGTTGTAACTTCATTCAAGTTACATTGATACGGGTAGAAAATTTTTTGTTAAAGGGAGAGTTTAAAAGATATGACATGGATAGAAATATTTCAAAAGATCATTATGAAAAATTAAAAGAATACTTTTATCCAAAAATATAAAATCATAAATCAACAAAACGAAAAAGATGGACACTAAGTTATATGGATGTTTTGTGAATATTGAGAATTATTCCAAATCTACACAAAGTTACACAATTGCAATTTATGTCAGTAAAATTAATATCATTCCGTCAAAATTGTCATATAATCCTTCAATCATTAAACTTATATATATCATGAATAACCCGTACAAAGTGCGGGGTAAATACTAGTATATAATAAAGGAGAGTTTTCAATCGGACACATGACGTAAAATTAGATAGGATAATCCACGTGGCACGAAATTAAATAGCCAGAGTCCACATGTCGCAATCAAATCACTCTATCATTTAATGGTATGTTTTTAATGTACAATTGTAAATTTATAAATAAAACAAAATTAATTAAGAGATTTTTTAAAAATCAAGGAAATAGTAACGAAATTGTACTCAATCTTTAATTGTGTTGTAATAACCCTGCGGCAATTCATGTATCACCTATGT